GAATCCAGCTATTCTTGATTCTTGACTGTTCTATAGGTAGTTAAAACCTCTTATACCTCCTGTTTAATAAACATTCAGAAAATATTCAGCAATTGGCTTCAGCCTTCATTTACCTGCACAGCCTCACGTGAGCGTAATAAAACTTTGTTTTAGATTTTAAACAAGACTGTCATAATTTAATAACTCATGTCTTTACTTGAGTATGTTATTTTAGTATGTGGTCCACCCCCGATGAAAACTATAACTAAGTTGTCACAGCAGGCTTCTGCTGCACAGACCAAGTTTGGCCTTGTACTATTTGCATGATGAGTATGGGCAGGATATCAAGATTTTTATTATTCTCTAATATTTAATGGACATGGTACTTAAATCTAGCAAAAGGACGTATGAACAGTTAGTGTGCTAAAATTATCATGTTGTGATTCCTTCATATACCTTCAGTTAACATTAGAATCTTATATTCACTCTTTTTTATGTATTTTCTAAGGAGATTTATGACTTGATGAAAAATGATCTTGTAAGGTATGCTGAATATTGACTTTTCTTTTTCATTTTCTTTAGCACCTAAAAGAAGAAGAAAGTTGAGTCTACTACCAAGCAGAGGAGGTAAGGATAACTCCGTAATGTACTTCAGAGGGATTAATATTTCAATTCTGAAATCAATTTAAGACATAAGTTGTATTCAAGTTGAAAGGAACATACCAAGTAAGAATCTAAGTTTAGTATTCTTGTGCTTTTTGTCAATTCTGATTGTAATTCAAAATAATTACCATTTTTGAATTTAATGTCAAGGTTTGGTGCTTTAACTGGATGAACATACTAATGCTGAAGATATTATTGAGCTTTCATTTTGTGTAATCGCAAGGTCAAATTTGTATGCAAAGTCATTGTATGACTATCATGATTTAGTTTATTTAAATTTGGGTATGTATTTACTCCAGAGTGGGATTTTGTACTATTTTGACTTATTTGTAAGGTCTTCTGCAATAATTGGGAGTATTATTTAATGAAACAAATGGAGTTCATACAACATTCTGTAAATTTAATATGGTGAAAAATGATTTCTTATCCACTTTTTAGGTGGCAGCTGATGGGATGACAGGGTAAAATCTGCAAACACAAAGCTGCATCATCGTTTTATGTTGATTTGAAAACGTCCATGAGTAGTTCTCTGGATGTCCAGAATAACTTTTATTTCTTTCTCTTCTTTAGAAATGTCTTTCAATCTCTGACATTGTGATTTCACAATTTTATTTTATCAGTTTTCGGTGACATGTTATATTTTTTTGAATATTTTTATTTTGAAATATATTATTTGTACTTACATAAATGCAAGTGTTTTATTTGATCAAGGGCTTAATTTCATCACAGTTAATTCATCTGCTACAGTTGTACAATTGTCCAAGATTAACCTTCAGGGTGGATATAGCTCGCTCACACCGAGGACCCATCCACGTCATCATTTACCCAGAATGCTTTGCATGTAAATAAAATGGCTTCTTCCGTGTTAAAATATATATTTTTAAAATTTACAAAACTAAACAGCCTACAGTATTTTCGCAGTCTTTATTTTACAGTTGTGTGGGGAAAGTGGTGGTGCAGAGGCTAGAGAAGGTGACCCTGTGGTCGGAAGACTGCTGGTTCAACTCCCCAGACCAATCAGCCCCAACCTGGGCCCCTGAGCAAGGCCCCCAACCCCCCCAGCATCTCCCCAGGCTCCCCACAAATGGCAGCCCACTGCTCCACATGTGTGTGCTCTGTGCGATGGGTCAAAGGCAGAGAACTCTTCAATTTCCCCAAGGGGGTCAATAAAGTATCTATTTCTTTATGTTTACTATTTCCCCACACAATAAGAACACATTGAAAGCATCACAGCTATTAAAGACATATGGAATTATCTTTATTTAAAAAAAGTGTTACCTTTTTAAACAGAGCCATTGTTTTATCTTAATAAAATCTTTTCACACATAAAAACAGTCTCAGACAGCATGGCGAGGTCATCACCTTGAGCATCTAGAGAAGTTCTCACAGGTTTTTTGTGGGGAACTTCCTGGCTGCCCAGATGGGGTTTGCATCTGAAGGTTTGAGGAGCTCTGGTCACTCGAACGCATCGTCATCACTCTTCTTCTTTGTCCAGCAAAGCCTGAGAGCAGCATCACACCTCCGCCTCCGTACTCCACAGTGTGAGACATGGATGCAGATGCCATTGATTCTCCTTTAATGTCAGACTCTGTGTTTATACCAGCTTTATTTCATCTTACAGGGTTCCCTCAGGAGAGGTTTCATTTTACCAGCTCAACTAGATTTTTAAAATATTTTACTTTTTCTTTGTTCTAAGAGCAGACTCTAATCTGAGAATCTTGATTACTTTTGTGGCTGTGCTTGAGTAAATCAGTAATATAATTTTCAAATAAAAATTACTAAACCACCAAAGCTTTACATATATCACTTTTCAGATCTTCCATTTCTTGAAAGATTGTTAGCCCTACATATTTATTTAACTGGATCAACAAACTACAGGGCAATAATACAGGTGCTGGTCATAAAATTAGAATATCATGAAAAAGTAGATTTATTTTAGTAATTCCATTTAAAAAGTGAAACTTGTATATTATATTCATACATTACATACAAACTCATATATTTCAAATGTTTATTTCGTTTAATTTTGATGATTACAAATGACAACAAATGAAAATCTCAAATTCAGCATATCAGAAAATTAGAATCTTGTGAAAAGGTTCAAAATGGATGGCACCTGGTACCACACTCTAATCAGCTAATTAACTCAAACCACCTGCAAAGGCCTTTAGATGGTCTTTCAGTCTAGTTCTATAGGCTACACAATCATGGGGAAGACTGCTGACTTGACAGTTGTCCAAAAGACGACCATCGACACCTTGCACAAGGAGGGCAAGACACAAAAGGTCATCGCTAAAGAGGCTGGCTGTTCACAGAGCTCTGTGTCCAAGCACATTAATAGAGAGGCGAAYGGAAGGAAAAGATGTGGTCGAAAAAAATGTACAAGCAAGAGAGATAACCGCACCCTGGAGAGGATTGTGGAACAAAACCCATTCAAAAATGTGGGGGAGATTCACAAAGAGTGGATTGCAGCTGGAGTGAGTGCTTCAAGAACCACCACACACAGACGTATGAAAGACATGGGTTTCTGCTGTCGCATTCCTTGTGTCAAGCCACTCTTGAACCACAGACAGCYTCAGAAGCGTCTTGCCTGGGCTACAGAGAAACAGGACTGGACTGCTGGTGAGTGGTCCAAAGTCATGTTCTCTGATGAAAGTAAATTTTGCATTTCCTTTGGAAATCAAGGTCCCAGAGTCTGGAGGAAAAGAAGAGAGGCACTTCATCCACGTTGCTTGAAGTCCAGTGTAAAGTTTCCACAGTCAGTGATGGTTTGGGGTGCCATGTCATCTGCTGGTGTTGGTCCATTGTGTTTTCTGAGGTCCAGGGTCAACGCAGCCACATACCAGGAAGTTTTAGAGCACTTCATGCTTCCTGCTGCTGACCAACTTTTTGGAGATGCAGATTTCATTTTCCAACAGGACTTGGCACCTGCACACAGTGCCAAAGCTACCAGTACCTGGTTGAAGGACCATGGTATCCCTGTTCTTAATTGGCCAGCAAACTCTCCTGACCTTAACCCCATAGAAAATCTATGGGGTATTGTGAAGAAGAAGATGCAATACACCAGACCCAACAATTCAGAAGAGCTAAAAGCCACTATTAGAGCAACCTGGGCTATCATAACACCTGAGCAGTGCCACAGACTGATCGACTCCATGCCACGCCGCATTGCTGCAGTAATACAGGCCAAAGGAGCCCCAACTAAATACTGAGTGCTGTACATGCTCATACTTTTCATGTTCATACTTTTCAGTTGGCCAACATTTCTATAAATCCTTTGTTTTTATTGGTCTTCAGTAATATTCTAATTTTCTGATATGCTGAATTTGAGATTTTCATTTGTTGTCATTTGTAATCATCAAAATTAAACGAAATAAACATTTGAAATATATGAGTTTGTATGTAATGTATGAATATAATATACAAGTTTCACTTTTTAAATGGAATTACTGAAATAAATCTACTTTTTCATGATATTCTAATTTTATGACCAGCACCTGTATATTCACTGTACGGGACATGGTAAAGTCAAAATCACTTGCAAAAAAAAATTAAAAAAATAAAAATAAAAAAAATACTTTTGTTGATATATTTGGAGTGGCACTTTGCATGGAGTTCAAATTATCCACTATCAAAGAGGACACTATTGTGCACAGCAAAAATCACAACAAATACTTGCTGCAAACAGAAAATATTGATGGTGTCTCAACTATGTACCTATATAGCTCTGTAGATAATGTATAAAACATCACATTTGATCATTTCAAACGATTGTACAGAACACATAAATTAATATAAAATATAACTTTATTGTCACTCAGCTTTTTTTTAGCCTTGATTCTGTTTGTATCTCATCATTGCGTAACAAAATGGTGATGTGCATAGGTGAAAAATGCAGGCTAATAAAAAAATATATTTTTTAAAAGTAGTTCTCACGTGTCACAAACAACTTTTACTAGAATAAAGAAATTAAAGCCAACATGTGCAAGCAGTGGGAGATCCCTTAAACTTATATCTCCTATTATTTTGACTTATTCAGCAAATGTTTGTTAACCATTTATTAAACTTCTTAACATTAGGAAACTATGAAGAGTTTATCTGCCCAGTTTTATAGATACACAGAAGACTATGTGAAATATGTAAGGGTAAAGTTAAAATTAGTCAAAAATGTTACATTTTTAAATATTCTTTGGGGACATATTTATCAGAATTAACTTAATTTTTTAACAGGTCTGCAAAGTCTCTGGTATTACACAAAGCCTGCAATGTCCCGGACCAACACATACAGGTGTAATTTAATTAAGTGAGCTTATAAAACTGGGTCTCAGCAGTAAACCCGATGTGAGCCCCGCTGCTGCTACCCGGAAATATTACACGGGCCGGAAAGGACCAATGTTAGGGGAACACACGTCACTCACTTTTACCCGAAAATATTTCCACCGGGCATCCAGTTTTTGTTACATATTTTATACATTTATTTTTAATTTCGACCGACAATTGTTTTTAAACAGCGAAAGCTCCCCGGACAGCACACAGCCGGGGCGAAACCAAATGGCGGAGGAGGCTGTGGATTTTTAGCACCCAGCCCAGCAGCATCAGTGAAAATGGCTCTGACTAACGCCTGGAAAACAGCACGCAGAAATGGAAGCGGACGGTAGCTAGCTGGGCAGAAGAAGAAGAAGGCGTGACGACAAGGCCTTCATCCATCTGCAGCTGTTGTGTGTGCTCCGCGACTGGATGCGTAGGTAAACATCTTCCGAATTTGGTTACGCAGATGTATATGCTAGCGTTAGCATCGTGATGTTAACCTTAGTGCGCGTGCCTTTAACATTGTGGTTCGGGATGAAGGCTAGCGCTAGCAACCGTCTGGCTTTTTATTGTATGTTGCGTGGGGCTTCAAATAGCCCGAACGCCGAGCCGGGTTAAAATTAAATGCCAAGAACCGTGAAGTCTAGTATGCAAGAGAATCCAAAATGTTTATTTTATTTTTATTTTTAAACCTTAGCCATCACTGTTACAGGATGCTACCATTCAGGAGCATCCGTTATTTAACTGCGCCCTGAAAACTAATGTTTACTTTGTGTCGCGGGCGTGTGATGCTTGTTTGGTAATTTTTAGCACTTGTGTCCTTTTTTCCAGACAGATTGCAGATTTTACATTAAAATGAGCGTCGATAAAACATTTTCCCTCATCTGCCAGGGGAGCTCGGTTCTCCCAGGTTTCATCGCATCAGTCGGAGGAAATGGTAAGCTTTTATAAGGTGAGCATAAAAGGCGTCAAAAGTGAGTACTTCTACTGTTAGCAGCCCACTTCCAGACTTTCCTACAGTGAAATATTGTGCTATTTTTTAAACTTAGCATTGCTCGTCGAGAAAGTTACACACATCCTTTTTTTTAAATTTATGCAAATGGTAGATTAAAAAAGATATAATAACTCAAGATAATTGTCCATGCACAGAAAGCACTTTGTATCTAACAAAGTAAAAATTGAACAAATACATAAATAATGTGAAAAAAAACCCCTCACCATTTGCTAAATGACTGAATTGGATGTAAAAGTTACTCATCCTCTAACACTCTGTAATTACCTCCAATTATGTCTGCTCAGATAATTCCCCACAATAGGCTTGACTTCACAAAGCCATTTTTTTATACTTTTACCATTTATGGACTAATATTTAGCTTGTTATAACAAATTTTTAGATTTTTGCAATCATGATGGTGCACTAAAAGTCAGTGAAATGTGTCAACAAGAAATAAAAGCTTTGCTCCTTCTAGATCCATTTTTCGTCATGATTTTCTCTGTGTTTTGATAAAACTTTGTTTTGAACATGTTTAAGTGTTGCAACAAAATTAAAACAAAGAAAGAAATTGATAAAGATCATTAAGCAGCTAATAAATGTGACCCGTGCTGGCAAAGAATGAGTCTGATTGAGCACAGGCTGTAGTGCAAAAAAAGTGAAAGTATATATTTTTTTCCACAACTGAGATTTACATAAAATTTGAGACACCATCCAGCGAACCTAGTAACTAAAATAGCATATTCTACCTTTTAGTTACAGTTTTCAAACAGGTACATCTTCAGAACAAATCTTTTTTTCACATAACTCTTCAAAATTGACCATTTTTTTCTGCCAGCTGCTGGTAATATGGGAAGCCTTGTTCTGTAAATGTTTTTCCGTAAACTTTGGGGGATTCCCCATTTTAAATACAGGCCTGGTAACTGTCATTCTCTCAGTGACCTCAATTTAGAGCGGTGTCCATTCCTTCATTCCCTCCTTCACCCATTCACTCAAATCAGGTGTGTCAAAGCAGAGAAAGCCTCAAATTTTAGACTTTTCCTTTGGTCCAAGGGTTACATTTTATCCTTGATCTCTTGTTTGATTAAATAAAATTTGTTTACAGTGTTTTTTTTATTGGTGGAAAGATCAAAATTTGAGGTTTCTTTGCTTTGACACAACTGATTTGAATAAGAGAGTGATTAGCTGGCTTCTGCAGAACTTGAAGTCCCACTGAAGGGAAGGGAAACCTCTAAAGCATGTGGCCCTGGAGGCGCAGGATTGTGTACCATTCAGCAATTCCGGGCCTTGAGGTCCACAGCCCTGCATGTTTTACTTTTTTCCCTTCTCTAACACACCTGATTCAGTCAGTGAACTACCTCTTCAAGTTCTGCAGAAGCCTGATAATCATCTATTCATTCAAAGCAGGTGTGTTGGAGCAGAGAAACAAGTAAAACATGCAGGGCTGTGGACCTCGATGATCCCTGCAACAGAGTTCTCAAACCAGCACTTTCATAAACAAAACTAGCTTATTGCCATGCTAGGTGATCATTTGACAAATTTTAACCAACCACATATCATTTTGAAGCTTTTGAGAGAAAAAAATTGAAAATAACTAAATATTTAAAAAATCCTCTGTGACTCATTTAGCCAGCACAAGTCACTTCCTGTTGTCCTGTGTTTTATAAATCGCATTTTTAATATAAAGATAAAAGTTATAAATGTTTCCTACAAGAATGGTGATAATTAGAAAATTTAAAATAGCTGTAGCATGGAGGCAGAGAGTAATCGGACACACTACATTTGTAGGAGTTACGTTTCTTTCTAACAGAACAGATGCAGCATGAAAAGTAAAAGCACTGTGGTATTAATATTAAAAGTACTGTAGTGTTGTGGTATTAATAGTAAAAGTACTGCAGCATGAAAAGTAAAAGCACTGTGGTATTAATATTAAAAGTACTGTAGTGTTGTGGTATTAATAGTAAAAGTACTGCAGCATGAAAAGTAAAAGCCCTGGTAGTTCCCAGTATAGTAATATAATAAAATGCGTCACTACTTCTATAAGGTTTTTGTTAGAGATGCAAAGTCTTCCTCTTCTTTCACAGACACCTACGAGGTGCATTATTTTCATAGACGAGGGCAATAAGAACAACTTCCTTTCTATAATAAATGCCAACCTTTTATTAAAAATACTTTATGCTGCAATTCAAGCAGAACCAAATTAATAAGTTGTAAAAAAAATCTGAAATGTTGAATTTGTTGGTTGCATCAGCTGTAAAATCTGTAGAGACTGCACAAATGATTCACTTTACTCAGTATAATGAATAATAAAAAACAAATGTTAAGTTTTCTGTTGTTTTTAGATGTTTATTAGTCACATTTTTCTCATTTACTAAAGGCCCTGTCACACTAAATCATTTTAGACAACTGATGCTGATTATGAAAATTGTGTTAATAAATTACTCCTATAGGTTATTTGATCTAATCATTAGCATTGCAGGATGTACAAGAGAGGCTTCCTGTAGATTTTTATTTTTATTCCATCTTCATCGTAGGCGTCTTCAGTGTTGGACAAAATTTTCAAACGTTGTCTAAAACAGTGTAGTGTGACAGGGCCCTAAGGCTAATTGACTCACAAAAAATAACAACAAAGATAGCAACTCAAGTTTGGTAATGTAAGTGCTCTCTTTGGTACCAAATAAGCTGTTTATAAAAATACAGGTTCAACAACTTCCCTGCACGCTGTTGAATTGATCAAAATCTCATTGTTAGATCACTGAAGTGGAGAAATATTTACTGTACATATACATAAGCACTCAATTATATCACATGATCATTGTTTTAAATACAAATAATTTAAAAGAATAGTCAAATTTCTGTTTAATTTCTATATTTTCTTATTGTCTTCATAGAATTTAAGTTTCTCTTTTTACAGATTTGCTTCAGTTGGCGAGACATTTCATCATAGATTAAAGGCCAGTTTTGTTAGTGACTGAAGAACATGTTTTTATTATTTTTTTTATACTAAAGTCTGTAGAAACCTTCTATGACTTCTTGTCTCCCTTTCTGAATCTTGTGTTTTCAGTTGTAGGAAATTCTTGGCTGAACACGGATGAGGAATCTTAGGTGAAGGGAAAATGCCATCGCAGTAAATCTCACAGGAGACGAGAAGTCATCATTTGAACTGGTTCTCAATCAAAAGCTACTTAATCAGTTTTGAAACTGGGTGGAACTCCTCTTCCTGCCAGAAAAGACAGTTTTATCCTTTTGCTCTTCATATTATCATCTCTGCAACCCCACTCATTTTGGAAGTATAGTGTGATCAACAAAGAGTGGCGGCATCAGAAGTAAACAGTTTGGAATTATGAACTTTAATCCATCTTTAAAGTAAGACAGTAGTAGCATAGCCTTACCCTTGGGGTAAAATTTGTCTTTCACCAGTAAGTGGTGGGATTATTGTAGCCGCTCCTAGTGCTGGAGGTTTGGCATCTGCACCCCCATGCGCCAGTGAGTGGGAAATGTTCCAATTTGGAAAATACAATCTGGACATTATAGAGATGTTAAGTGGGCACCAGGCCCACCAGTTCAAAGGCCTTGGTTTAGATCGACAGCTACAGCATCAGCAGCAAGTGCAACTCCACCAGCATCAACTCCAACAGCAGCAGCAGCAGGCTGAGTCTTCTGGAGCCCTTCTGTCTGGACTTGGCTTGGGCCCCTTGCAGGGGTCTAGAGGTAACGCCTTTTCTGATTCTGCCTCCATTTTTGCCAAGATGAGTGCCCCTCCTCCCCCACCTTTACAACAGCAGCCCTCATCTCAGACCTCCCGTTCAAAGTCAAGCAAGATAAGCAGCAGCAGCTCAAGCCATTCTTCAGGCTACCCACAGTTCCTGCGCTCTTTCCACCCGTCTGAGGCAGCACTAGCACAGGAACAGTTACACCCTAGCGTAGGTCGCTTTGAGCACTTTACTGGGGGGAGTAGCAGTAGTGGGAGTGCTGGGGGGTTAGGAGGATTAGTAACATCAGCACCTCCACCACCTCCTCTGCATCCCGGCCTCTCTGTCCCCCAGGCATCACCTGGCCCCTCCTCCTCCTCTCCCTCCCCATCCACCTCTGTAGCCACGTCCAACAACCCCTCTAGCAGCAGTGCAGTCAGCTCACTGGGGCACCAGTTGGTTGGGGCCCAGTCTGATGCACGGAGCCTTCACCAACAGTTTAGTTGCATGCTAGCTGCTAATCAGTATTTTCTTTCTGGGGTGCCTACTAATGCTAGTTTAGAACAATTCCTTGTTCAACAGGGAACCCATAACCACTTAGGGATTGGTTTAAGTCAAACAGGTGGGGAGCCGAGTACCAGCCTTGCACCGCCTCCCGCTTTGCATTCTTCTCACTCACATGGCCACTCCACTCCCCAGCCTCAGCAGGCACCACAGCAGCCTCCCCAGCAGCAGCAGCTTCCGCCTCACTCCCTTTCTCATCCCCACTCCCATTCTCATCCCCACCACCCTCTCCACCCTGGCTCCCAGGCTCCATCACTGGGTGGCTTTGACTTTCAGGGCATTCCTGTGCTTTCGTCTAATCAGATAGCTTCCCTGATGCAGCAGGAGGCAGGTCTGCCCCTCCCCTTACCACTTCATTTATCCTTATCTAAAGAAGATGGTAAAGGTGAAAGCAGTGGAGGTGGAAGTAGCAGCAGCAGTAGCAGTAGAAGGAAAAAAGCCATGGCTGGCTATTTACCACAAAGAAAATCCGATACCAGTAATAATAACAGTAGTGGTCATGGTCATGGTAGCCACAGTAATCCTAGCACTAGCAGTAGTAACGGCGGGCTAAGTCATAGCCAACCCCCGGCTTTAATTGGTAGTGGGGTTGGTATGACAAATATGGGTGGAGACCCATCATCCCTTCTTGCCTCGTCATCTTCATCCTCATCAGTAGTGTCTTCTTCCTCCTCCTCTGCTCCCTCTTCCACTGCTGCCTCAGTACTAGTTACTAACGATTCTCAGCTTTCTAAATCTGATAACCAGAGTGCAATGCAACCCAATGCCACAGGGTCTGATACAGAGCTCATTTATAGCTGTGGAGACTGTGGCAAAAGCTTCCCTCACCTCTCAAGCCTTCGCAGGCATATGCGCATGCATGAGCCAACCACAGCAGGTACTAGCAATACTGCCACTACAGGCCCAAATCCCATTTACATTAAAACACAGTCTGATCCAAGCCTTCCCCATTCGACCCAAGAAACCCCCCAGCCCTCATCAAATTCCTGTCCTAGCCCAGAGAAAATATTTCATTGCCCCGATTGTGGCAAAGCCTTTAGGAAAAAAGGGCACCTCCTGCAACATGGAGTGATACACTCTTCAGCCCGCCCGTATGGCTGTTCCACCTGCTCTCGGGCATTTAATCGTAGAGAGTCACTGACACGCCATGAGAAGATTCATGAGGAAAAGCCGTTCCGATGCCCCGCCTGTGGTCGTGCCTTTCGTGAGAGCACCTCTCTACTCAACCATGCTGCCTCAGGCACCTGCGGCAAGCCAGGTAGGGGACCCAAACAACGGGGCAACAAGACAGGAACTGATAGTGAGGACAGAGTCGGGGGAGGGAGTGGAGGAGGTAACGGAGGAGGGGGAACTTATCAGAGCAGTAGAGGGGTTAATTTTGGGAAAACTGAGGAAGAGGATGGTGTAATCATTGTGGGTGAAGGAGAACCTAAATCAGGTTTAGGATGTGATGGTCTGTTTCAATCTGGAAGGGGAGGGAATTCAAATGACAGGGACAGAACAGATAGTAAATACCCAACTGACTACTCTCGGAATCGTTACACAGGCTACCACGATGACCACCGTTCTCAAGGTAACCCATCTCCATGCTACTCTGGCGCCTCCCCCTGTGGAAGTGGGATGGCGGGCCCATCTCTGAGAAAGGCACCCTTGGCCCCAACGCTGCATCCGCACTCACAGAGCCACCAGCATCACCATTCGCAGCAGCAGCAGCAGCAGCAGCAGCAACAACCCCACCTGCCTCTTTCTTCTCTACTGGATGACTCAGAGGATGATGTCACTAGCTCTGTCAATAATGCAATCTCTGCTATAACAGCAGCTAGTAGTGGAAATAGAGGGGATGATAGGGGAGACATTATAGGAGGTCTGCTAGGTGGTCTTGGTTTAGGACCTCTGGGCTCACCTTCGTCCACATCTGGCATGGATAAGAATTTTAGAAGTGCTGGGAGCCAGGAGGCTATGAGCAGCAACCCACAGAATCTGACCACCAAACCAAAACGCCCTCGCAAACCAAGAGCTAAAAAAGATCCTGCAGCTGGTGGACAGCCCCCAAGACGTAGGCAATACACCCCTAGATTGGGGCCCAGTGGGCTCCCGCGCACTCACCTGTGCAGTGTTTGTGGGAAGGGATTTGCCCGCCGCGAGACCCTGCGTCGACATGACCGCATCCACACTGGAGAAAAGCCCCATCACTGCACTATATGTGGCAAGTATTTCAGAGAAGCTTTTCACCTCAGCAAACATCAAACGGTCCACTCTGGGGCAAAAAATTACAAATGCACCATCTGTGGGAAAGAGTTTGGTTACTCCCAGAGTCTCAGGAGGCACAGCAAACTCCACCAGAAAGGGGAGCTCGAAGAGGTGCCTACAACACCAGCTGCAGAGAACCTTAACAGCTTTAACCCAAATCCTCAATGTAGCGTTGTGCAGGACAGGAGCCAGAACCAAGCACCAAGCACCTCCTCCTACTACCCCTACTCACAAGACGTCAAGCCTCAAGACACAAATCCTCAGTCGCAGCCTCCACCCCAATCCCAGCCGCCGCCTCCACCACATCCCCGACTATACACCTGTGCTATCTGTTGGAAGTCTTACCGTCACCACTTCCAACTAACAGCCCATCACCAGATGGTTCACGAAGGTGGGGGTGACAAGTTTTTTTCCTGCGAGGTTTGTGGAAAACAGTTTGCCTACTCTAATAGCCTCACTCGACACAGGCAGTCTCAGCATGGGATTACCCGTGGTGAGCAGTCCAACCCGCAAGACGGCAGCAGTGGGTCTGGAGAAAACAGAGGTGGGAGTGATGTTAATCAGTCGGCATCTGAGAGCGAGGCCGCCACCAATGCCTTGCTTCAAATGGCTCCATCCACTGAAGGCCACGGGGGACAGGGTCTTAGTGTTGTCACTCACAGCCATCAGCAGGCGCCTCCACAACCACCAGCTGGTTATTCTCCCCTCTTTTATGATGCTGCTGCAGCCCAGTCCGCTGCGTCTAACGCCCCAACTTACTCTCAACCCTTGCCTCCCAACTCTACAATCATGCCCCCTCAGCACCCACACTCCCCGGCCGGGGTAAAAGGAGAACACATTTATCCAGCTGGATCCCGTAGCCGCACACTCCACACCACAGCCCCGTTTCAGCCCCTCACGGAACTGCCCTCCACTGAACATCACCATCTGCATCACCATCACCATTACTCCCACCATCATCCCCATCATCAGTCAGACACCCAGCCCCACCAACACTTCGACTGCAACATCCCGTTGTCCCACGATGAAATGAGACGACACAAGAAGAAAAAAAAAAAGTCCGACAAGAGAGAATGGAGGGGAAATAAATGGGCTTCCCACGACTCGGTCAGATTTGATGGTGTCAAAAAGAAGAAAAAGATCAGTTGTACAGTAAGAGGGCAGTTGAATAAAAGACGAGGCTCTCTTCGACTGACAATTAGGCGAGGAGGAGGATCAGGTGGCGGTGGGTATAGGCTTGTCAACACTGGCGGAATGAAGGTGCAGATCCTGTCATCTCTCCATGTCCCGGTGAAACGCTTTGGATGTCCCATATGCCCCAATTCAGTGTTTTCCCGTAAAGCTGGACTGCTTATCCACATGGCGGTCAAACACCCACGGAGAGCCTTGAGCTATCAGGAGCGATTAAGGTGCAGTGTGTGTGGGAAGCAGTCTCATGGGCCTCTGGCAGCCTTCGTCCACCGAGCTTCCCATCGCGCCAGAGGGACTTTCTCCTGCCGCCGCTGCGCCGCCCGCTTTTGGAACGCCGCACTTCTTCACAGGCACAAAGTGTCTTGCCGCCGCAGGGCTAAAAGACTGCAGCGAGGAGATGGTACGAGGCTGAAGCTTTTGAAGAGACCGGAAGAAAGACAGACCCACGAGAGTCACGAGGAGATGCCGTTTTTGCAAGGATCACCGTACAGATACTGATCCTTGTGTCTGAAAAGAGTGGCACATGAGGGATTGTTTTTTTGTTTTCCAGCTCTAAAAATAAGGAAATGAGTTAAAAAAAAAGGACTTCAAAAGGCATATGTAAGAAAAATGTGCCTGGTGTTTTTTGTTTCATCTTCTCTGCTGACTATTAGAACGAGTGTTAACAACTACTGTAGAACAATATATTAAAATATTACCAGAGATTCTTCCAGATTATATTGGAAGGTGCTCAAAGGTGTTTTTTCAAAGACGTGACTGTTTTCATAGGATCATTAATTAACCCTTAAGTGCATTGACACTATGCTTGGCTGACACTGTGCAGTTATCTAGACAAGTTTAGATGAATTGACCTGCTAATGTATCTTCCTTCTACAACTAAAAACTCCCGCTACACCTCTTCCTGTATGATAAAACGTCTCTGCTGTGTATTTTGTCTTGTTGTTGTTCACTTAGAGGCTCTGAGGATTTTATTTTTTCTTCTTTCTCTTTATGTAAAGTGCATTTATTAGGAGTAGGGACACAGGGACAAAGACCTTTTTGTTGATAGTTTGTCAGTGCATGTTTGTTCAAGTTGGTTCAAGTTTTTTGCTGAGGTTGTGAGATCGCTCCTACAGTACGTGATGGTTTTATTCAGTATATCCCCACAAGTTTGTAGTGTAAACATGATTTGGAAGTCGCTCTATTATTACCTAGTGATTTGATCACGTATAGATGAAAATGTTGGTTTCTGGTAATTAACATCACAAGGATCCCTCTCCTGCCAAATTTGAGACTCTTTCCGAGAAAAAAAGCCTTGTGTACGATGTTTAGTTTACTTTCTTTATCTGAGATGTTCCTAGCTTTTTATACCACAGGATTAAAAAAACAGGTTAAACAAATCAACTGTAACAAGTTTATCATGTTATTTGTATGCTCTTTTTAGCAGTAATTATTTCTACTGTACTCCACAGTGTTAAAGACAAGGACCTATCATGATAGAAACAAATGTACTATTTCATGTATTTGTAATCAGTCTTCTTACCCCCTTAATTTTTTTTGCTGATTTCCAATCATATTGTTACTGTTGAGCTTTGTTTTTTCCTTTCTTCTTCTAAAAAACTAAATTTTAATTTTGCCACTTTATTCACGTATAAAATGTTCATACCCCTGTCATTTTTTTTTTCTTCTAAAGAAAAATGATAGTTTTAGTAGATTTCTATTACACTATTTACTGAGAAGTCAGTAGTTGATTATATCTCAGCAATGAATAAAACTTAAGTGTAATTTGTTTTTTCTTTTTCGTTTCTGACTCTGCAACTATATCCAGAACAAAAAAATACAATTTCTATTTATCTTTATGTAAATTTAAAAAATGGATATGTAGCTGATCATAACAGTGAATTTCATTTAATTATTAACTGCTTCCAGATCATTTAACGGTTTTGGTAATACCACTACATTATTGTGGGTATTTTTTAAAAAATGCAGGAGGAAAGCTCTCCCATTTAGCTCCACAAGATGGCAGTAGTGATCTCAGCCTGGTGGAGAGAGGCAGACATGGATTTAACTGATAGGAGTGAAGCAGAGGGGCTGATGCGCTGGATGACTTTGTTTACCATCTGGCAGAAAGTAAATAACGTAATTAAATAATACTTCTTGGCTGCATTAAAACAGTTAATGAAAAATACAAAATGTGTCTCAGGTTCTACCTTATAATTAGAAGTATCCCGATACAGTTTCAGTTTAGATAATCACTGATACAGAGTACTTAGAGTTAGAATTTAAACTATACACAATGACTTTAAAAACATTTATTTAGAACAAGCTGGCTCTCCTTTTCTGGCCTACAACCCTCTGACTGGATCAAATCAAATATACAGCATAAAGGCTATGGTTGAAAATATTTAAAGATTTTCTTTAATCTTGTAAATGTCTTAAATATTGAACTGACAAACCTTTCACTTGAAATGTAAACACATTGAATGGAGTATTGATACTGGTTATCAGGACACTTGGTAGGAGTACTTGTATTTGTAAAAATGCTGGTATAAGGACACTGTTTATGCTGCGTGGAATTTAGCTTGAACTTTGTGTAAAGTTAGAGCAGGAAGAGCCCAGGATCGCCTCCTGGCCTGAGGCCTGTGAGTGGAGTCTGCGTGTTCTCTCTGTGCACTCATGGGTTTTCTCTGGGTATTCCAGTTTCCTCCCACAGACTGAAAACACAGGTAAATTGGGAACTCTAAATTGACTCCCAGGTGTGAATGAGTGTTATTGTCTCTTTGTGGCTCACCAGTTCAGCGTTTACCCCGACTCTCAACTCGGAAAATAACATTTATGTGTGGATGTAATCATGAAAGCTGTGTAATATACAGCTATTGTTTTTTTTCTTACACGTGACATACTGTCACAATGAGTCAGTCAGAATATTTCAATAATGACTTATTTACAATTTCTCCCATCTCAAAACCGTCACCATGGGATGTATTTATCACTTGGGTTGGCAAATAATTGTTAAAGAGGAACCGGTTTGAAAACCAATTTTACTGGTCTGGAACAATGCCATTTGGAGTTCTAGCCAAGAGGTTCACAGAGTTTACGATAAAAAAGTTTCATCAAATATACAAATTGATTTCCAGGCACTACGGCACACCTAAAATGAAGTACGTCCGTGTTAGAAAAAACTGATGTGAAGGTTGATTAGATTCTATTTCAGTTGGCATCACTAGATTCATTTTTAGGTAAATCTCACTTTTAGCACAAAAAACTATATAATTTCACATATTTCTTCACTGAAGCCACTTGTTTCAACTCTTTTAGGCAAACTCTGGCGTTTTAGAAGCAAACTAACATTTTAACGTGGTCCTGATCAATATTACCTCAGATTTTCTGAAGGTCTTTTAAAGTTTTTCTTTGGCTGCTTTTTTATTAATTTCCAGTTCGGTGCCTGGAAAAGTTTCAAAGGAATATACTTTCTGTTACCTGACTATTTTCTGAGAAATAAGTCACTAATGAGTCATTCAGATATAAACAAATTCCTAAACTGATTGGATGAACCTGTTTTGTGCCGAGAACATGATGGTCAATTTGAAAATAAAAACCAGTTTAAAATAGCATCTTCAATTCTTACCAGCAGCAGCATGCCACAATTAAAATTTAATTTGTGGGATCAAACTAACAATAGCAACAAAGGTGATTCCCAAACAAGTGCTGGCTTCAAACTTGTCCTACAGCTTGGTGATGTCTACTGTACATATTTCAGGTTTGGAGTCATGTATTTGCCGGACATTATTTCCTAAAGATGTGTTTTCCTTTTGCTTTATAAAAAAAAACTTTGACATATCTTCATTTTTCCCTTTAAAGCATACAAGCTGCACAGTGGCGCCTCCAGAAGGTATAATGGGGTGGGCCGTGTGGGGGCCACCAAAATCAAAAGCCAGATCAGAAATTCTATTATCCTGTTATAATCCCTCAATACAGTATAGTCATATTTAACATAGACATACAGTCAGGTCCATAAATATTTGGACACTGATACGTTTCTCATAATTTTGTCTGTAAACACCACCATGATGGGTTTTGAATTAAACAAACAGGACAGGAAAGTGGGAGGCACAAATAAACCGTTCACCCGATTTGGATGTAAATGCCTTCAAATTAAAGCTGAGAGTCTGGAATTTAAGCGCATCTTGTTGGTTTTATTTCAAATCCATTGTGCTGGTGTTTACATCTAGACATTGTATGTTGGCACCATCTTGAATGTGTCAAGTGGAGCGATCAAAAGAAGATGCATCATTCGTATGCTGCGTGGATCTGCCTTGATCAGTTTGTCTGGGCTGAGAATAGTTCTGAGGATGTGATGTTTTTGGTGATGTCTGTCTGTGTGTGTGTGTGTGTGGGGGGGGGGGGCACATAAAAAACTGACAAGTTGTGTTGGTCTTCCCCTCATATGGATATATTTTTATATATGTTAATCGATGCCCTGTATAGATATATTTGTGTGTATATATGTTCATAGATGAACCCTTGCCCAAGGACATGACTGAGATTTCTGGAATCGGGGATCGAACCGGCAACCCACTGGTAACAGAATGACTCCAAAAACCACTCCGCCACTGCTGCCATATGCATAAATAGAAATACAACTTTGATACCCTGCATCGTGATGATGGGAACACAGGTTTTAGACCGGTTGTCTTTATTCAGGGAGACTTTTATTTTAATTAGGGGATGGAATGCTCTCTCTGGGTTGAGAGGTTGTGTGTGTGTGTGTGTGTGTGTGTGTGTGTGTGTGTGTGTGTGTGTGTGTGTGTGTGTGTGTGTG